TCTCAAATTCTTAATTTTAGGACTAATTGCTCTTAGGAATATTTTAATTCTGAATTTATCTCATCGAATATAGTAATTGTAAGTAGTAATGTTATTGCAAATAGTAGTGCATTTTTGTCATGAGTGGGAGATTGGGCAACCACTCCCCACGCTTACGACTTAAAATAAAGTTATCTTACCTAACCTTACCTAACATATGACTTTGACCATTTCCAGTATTGATATATGGCATAGTTATGATATATTCATGACAGCTTGAATGCAATGCTTTAAAGGAATTAATTACTCTTTTTCGGTTTTTCGAAGAGAGCGAACAGCTGATTAAAAAAAAACAAGTACTTAAAATGGTCTGGCTCCAATTTAACAAAATCTTCAAACTTAAATGCCTCCTCAGGTGATCTGGAATGAGAGAAAATTCACACAAATACTTTGTCTATTTCCCAGAATTGTACCTAACGATTTAATGTTTTGCATATATATTAGATTTTTATTCTGTTTATAAAAAAGTGAAACAAAACCATTGTCAAGCCATTAGTAAAGTGCTTCGGTTGATTTTAGTTTATATTTAGCTAGAATGAAAGTTGTGAAGTTGCATTTTCAGCCTACAGAATTATCACTTGGTGTATAGTCTGACTGGATTCGCAAAAACATAGACATAGAATTTTACTTGTCACTGATAACCTTGATACAATTCTGTCCTAGAGCTAGCTTTCCATGAGGCTTATCATAGTTCAAATAACAGCAAATAACTCTCCTGTATGCCTTTTGAGGCCTGGAAGACTAAATTCACCATCTTTTCGTTGAATCGTGAATTGTACAATTTAACTAAGAGTGCTTTCAACATGAAATTGGAGTCTAAATCAACACGAATGTACAGATATCAAAACCGTGGCGGAGAGCTAATCTATCGCTTTCTAAAGGCCTGCATGGTCCTAAATGAACTGAACAAGAGCTTCCTACATCGAGAATCAATTGAACCTCAAACAAACTAGGCCACAGTTAGCAGTAAGCAAACACTCAACATGTTGTCATTACGTCAATTATCGCCCGGAAGCCATGCAAATAAATTTCTTCCACACTAGCGAATCACAGACAGTTCTGATAGTTAACTAAGGGCCAAGTCGCACTAGAGGACAAAACTGTTTACTTATGTCAAAAATCCGTCATCACAATGAAAAACCAAGTGCAACCAGTTTGTTCCTCAAAGGACAAAATTTGGTCGCGGACAGACAAACTTCAAAGATGCCGTCGACTACCTCTCAAGCAGGCCAAATTGAGACAAATCTTGGAAAACAATAGTGAGGGTGTTTTGATTTGGAAATGATTTGACAGGTGATATGTAGCAGAGGTTCTATGTGATAGACTTCACGGTAAAATTAATCACATTCTCATTTTGCAAGAACATGAATCCCAGTGCGGGCAACCAATTTTTCCTGTGCGAATTTCCACAATATCCACCAGGATGGATCTATCCTTTGCCAGGCCCTTACATGTTTAATGATCGAGGAAATCCCAGCCCATCTCCTTCAATCACGAGCACTGACTTGTTGCCAGAATCCCTTCAGTTCAGCGAAGACAGCTCAATATGCCGTCATCAACCCCAACTTCTTCGTGCCATACATCTTTGTTAGTCGAGACCAAGAAGGTTCAGGATAGATGGGGTAAAGAGGAGGAAAATCTATTAGTTCAACTGTGGGCTGAAAAGCACGATCAGTTAGAAAGTCGAGAGTCAAGAAAAACATGGGCTTGGATTGCCGAGAAGATTTCGAAAACGCTCGGAACTAACAAGATAGCCGACAAATGCATTCGGAAAATGATGTATATCATAGAACGATACAAGCATGCAAAAGATTGGAACAAAAACCAAACAGGAGGAAGCCTCAGGAAATCCGTCTACTACGATGAGGTTGATAAAATCCTTGGATGCTGCTCACAGTATGGCATGGTGTTTGTTCACAGATTTTGTTCTCAAGTGCGACTGTAGCTTTCCGGACAAATTTTTTGTAACTGGTCGATTTCAAGTCGGATTTGTCCAGAACAAATCTGAAATTGCCCTCTAGTGCGACTTCGCCCTAAGCCGAGAATATGGAACACCAGAACTGTCTTACGATATTTTTTTTTTATTATATTGGGTGGTTATGTCATTATATTTAGTACTTATGTNGATGAGGTCGATAAAATCCTTGGATGCCGCGACGTAGTAACCTTCAATCATGTAGCTGAAGCGGGAATCAGCGGCGAAAGTGCCACCGAAGTTGTTACGGAATCTGGTGATAATAATGGCGAGATTAATACTTCATTCAGCCCCAGTGTGCCAGAAATTCCAGCTGAAAAGAGACGAGCGTCGAAGAAAGGGAAGCGAGCATCGAAACGCAAAGCACCTGATAATGAGCTCTGAAAATGGCTCTAAAGGATGTGAGACAGCAAGGGGAGAAAGTAGCGACCTTTTTGGATTCGTTGCAACAAACGCAAACGCAGCAGCTCACCATAATGAGCCAGTTTATGGGATCAATTGTGAAAATCCTTGACAACCAACAGAATGAGAAAGAGAAATGAACTTCAATTCAAGACTATTTTTGACTATTGAGAGACAACCATTTTCATGTTTATCGCTCAAACGAAATTATGGAAACAAATGAAAGTAGTTTTAACTGATTTGTTATTATTAAGACATAATTTATCTCTATGATACACTTTTCTCTAGAAATCTGAACAACAGGTATTTCATTGCTGTGATGGAAATCGTTTCTAATGATTCAACATGAATGCCAAACACAAATTACAATGCAATATCATAGTATTTGATTGTTCATTTTCTTCCATTTTCTTTGTGAAAAATCAAATACAGCAAAAGTTCAAGGTCTAAGGATGAAATAATTAAAATCAATTTGAAAAAAATCAGAGACTGTCTTTTAGCAACTCTCTTATATCTTCCCCGTCTTGCATGAAGTCATTGTTCTGTTCGTTTCTGCGGTCATCACCGTCGTCGTAAAAATTATCATTCCATTCGTCCCCAATTTTAATACAAAAGTTATGCAGCACTGCACAAGCAACGGCAATCTTCACCGAAAAT